CACGAATTTCTCTATGTGCTTGCGTCGTGTCTTTGTACTTGGTCTTTTAACAACTTTTTAGTCACACATTCAACATAGCGCCTTAGCGTAGCGCCTTCTATGAGATATCTATGACAGATTTATCACCCAGTTAGTACCTTTACAGCTACCAGTCCTGGCGAGAGATGTCGCTATTCACTGTATTAATTAAATTTACATTTACATTGTAAAAAAGTTGATTGGCCCTTATTTATTTTTTTCTTGTGCAGGTCGCACTCTAACATCGATGTTGGAAGACATAAAGAAGCCTCAGGCACCCACGCCGCCCTCGGCTTCAGCGCGTACGTTCTCTGAAAACTTAGAAAAGGCGCCACACAAAGTAGAAGTTACTGTATTCACGTTAGAACCACAAAACGATGTCATGAAGAACATGTTTGACAAAGGTTAGTACTGTTCTGAATCAACACGTATTGGACACAGATCTCTGAGAAGAACGGTATTGCTTCTACCATGAAATTTTCTATGACAGTGTTGCCAGCAATTATGTAAAATATTCCATACCAATATTTTTCTCGTTTACCAATCGACTTCCAATTTTAAGTGTAAAAATGAACGTGAAAAGTCACCGATGTGTTTTTAAATAATATTAAAAAGTTACTAGTCAAGTAAAGGTTTATTAATAGATTTAGAATTAATATTTAAGATTATGTGTTCATAAAGATAATTATTTATTTATTTTATTCATTTGGAACACTAACAGATTACACAGAAAAAATAAGAATAAAAGACAACATTTAGTAATGCACAGTTCTTATGAGTAAACCAATTACAGGTATCCATCATTCAATATATACCCAGATAAAATAAAAACAACTTTAAATATTAGTAATTCAATGATGATTAATGTATTAAAATTTAAGGTAAATAATTGATTATAAGATCGAAATAAATAGTTGATCGAATTAAATATTTTGTGAAAGATGAAAGAAATAATAATGATAAAATATTATTAAACTGTAGGAATACGCAATTTACATTTAAATTTATAGAAAGAATAATAAAAGAAGATTATGTCATTATGAAAAAATAATCATAAAAATCACTTGATGATCACCAATCGTTGACGTTAAATTGTTTTATGTAATAATTTAAAAAAAACTTCAAGGTGCCGCAGTGGAACTAAAAGATGACAAACCGTTGAGTGCCATTGGGGAGAAAGTCAACACATTGGAGAGGCGAATACATACAGCGAGGAACGAAAAGGGCGATAATAATACAGAAGTGCTGATCGCTCAGCTCAATAATAGGGTGAGTAATTCATAACAGTTTACAAATTTTTGTATACTAATATTATGAATAACCAAATACTTATTACGAGGTCAGGGTCACATTAGCAAACTACTCTGATTTTATTCGACTTAGCGGTAATAGTCGTTCTTGTTTGGACAAACCTGCGTGGAGTAGTGTATTTTAACACTTATACGGTCATACTGTATTTTGATACCGTAACTTATTTGATATGAAATTCTAATATGGGTAAAAATGTAGTAACATAAATAAATTGTGGTGGAAATGAATAGGCAATGAATTTGTTGATTAACAGATCTTATTTGAATTTGGAAGTAAAAGCTGACAAGTAACATTGTAGAATGTTAAACTATAGGGTTAGCACGACAGGGTGCGACTTCCGCGAGAGGGACATAGAGCGCGAGATATTTGCTATTCTCGGATAGAGTATCTAGCGTTTTACGTCGCTCTCGCGCAAGTCGCGCCTTGTCGTGCTAGCTCTACTGATTTATTCAACTCTAAAATTGATTGATTCCAAAAGTCACTACTAGGGACTTCTTTAGAATCCAAAATAATTGTGTGCTTTAATTGTTACTGTATGTATATCAAATTATTGCTTGTGACGATTTCAGATATTAAACTTGGAGAAGCTATTAGAAGTACAAAACGCAAAGTTCAACGCCGCCATCGAGGACCTGACTGCGAAGTTGGCAGCTGAGGTGCAAAAACGGCAAGCTCTACAGGCCCAGATGGAAAAGCTAGCGCATTGCGTCACGCAAGTGTAGCCCTTACCGCGAGCGCCACTAATGTCAATTCTCCAAGGCAGAACTACTAAAAAGTTTTCAAATTTCGTTACTTACTAGTACAATGATAGGAGCTCCGTAATTATGTGTCAGAATTGTAATAGAAAAACTGAGTTTTCGAGTGCACACTGTGGGCGTTTTTTGGAGAGAATGGTAGTAATGGTAATATACACAATACATAATCAATTGAACTCAAAACAATGCAGTGTTCGGCTCATATTAATAATGATTCGTCCTCCGAATAAAATAGACAAGCTGATAACCACTATTGAATATAATGTCTATGCCACAGTACCCCATATGAGTAACTTGACTTATTGAGGAGACTAGGGCCCATTAATTAAACCACATATCGCACGATGAAACCAATACCGTGACCAACCGTAGCTAAGCTGCGGTTAATACACATGACAAATGACACTAGTGTCACTACGATCTTTTACGGAATGCGCGCGCTGCTGTAACCGTTTTACCGTCATTACCTTGGTAGTGATCTGGCTGTCAATTATGCTGTTATAGTTACTTTACGCAAGATTGTTACTAAAGTAAAAAAATGTACTAAGATCTTAGAGATGGAAAAAATAAAGGAAAGGAGCTGCCCTAACAACAGAATGAACGTGCGGGTGGATAATTTTGTTTTCAGGAACTGAGAATGTCTAGTAAATGAATCTTGTTGTTCACATGCATTGTTATATTCTTTACCTTCACGGAGCTCCTATTGTCAGGAAGGTATCGGTAACAGTAACGTGGCGCTCCGGAAGTAAATATTATTATTTTGGAATGTAATTAACTAGCGGTTTCTCGGTCGTAAATATTTTGAATAATCGCTTGAAAACGGTAGCTGTCCGATATATTTACTTTATGGTAATGTAACTTTATAATGCTTTGTGAAAGGGCTCTAAATATGTATACACCAGATATGATTGTCTGGTGACAGGGACACTATATGTAATGAAGTGTTTTAAGTATCGGAATGTGTTTGTTTACTATATATTTTACGTTTGTTGCATTGTATTGTTTATTATCAATGTGATAAATCTTAGTGCTTATTTGTTCTTTATTTACCTTATTTTAGTTTGTGAAAAAGTTGTTTTCTGTTTCAGTATTTCTGCGTATGTATTTTGTGTGCTGTGCACCGTCGCAACTTGTCAGCGCAAATCGGCGGTCGGCAAGGCGGAGAAGATTAAAATTTACAATGTATATTTTATACTATTGCAAAATAAGGTATAAATTTCAATGCTCTGAGATGCAGAGAGAAATGCGCCCCGATACTCCGAGGTCGATTCCAAAGCAATAAAATTAAACCTCATTTCAATAGAAATAGTATAAAATATACATTGACTAATATTATCTGCCTTCCCGTTCGCTGGCCCTAAGGCGCCCATTAATATAAAATTGTTAGAAAATTAATAATATTGAATAACTGCCCCATCGCATAAGTTGACTAGACTTTGTAGATATATAATATATAACGAGATTTTGACGTGTTTAGTATGATTACAAAATTTGTGCCATGTTATTTGATCGCCGCACATTGTGTATATCGAGTGGAGAGGTGTATTTTTTGTACGTAAAATTACATAACATGTATATTATTGTAACGATTTTATTGAACTTGTAACAAACTAAATCGCTTGATAACACGTGATGTCGTACATTCCACTAAACTCAGGTGTCGCATGTATAAACTTGAATTGGATATAGTGTAACCAAAGTTTCATTTCAACATGTACATGTTTATAGTACATGTATATCCAGAGCCATATTTTGCTTATAGTTAATATATTTTTGTATGTGTACAGAAATTTATATTTTACTTAGGTACCTAATGCTTTTACAATCGTGTTATGAAAGCGAGGTCGAAATAAAGAAGTAAGGGTAGTCTTCTTGGCCTCAATTTCTTTAAAACGAGATTATCAGTATTTTTTGCATAACATTATGCCTGGTTGTACTCAGAGGTAATTCCAAACAGGTTTTAGATTCTGTCTACGTTAAATTAGAGCTATTGTGTGATCGTATCTTTATTCTACGTATTTAATTTTATCAAAGTGGAGCTGAGAAGAGATATATTCCTGCAACCAATATGATATTTCGGATATGAAACTATTTTTTTCCGGATCTAAATCGCTTATATTTGTTTTTTTTTTTTCAAAGAACTGACGTTTCAGGCCGTTTACAGGTCTCACGGTTACGACTGACTTAGAGGGTAAAGTCATCAGATAGTTACGTCGTGTCACCACCCTGTAATATTAGTTTACATTGATATTAGACAACTGGTTGATGATTTTACCATTTATTATTATATATTTGTTGAGCATTGGCTGTAGAGCCATCAGCTTAAACAAGTAAAAATTATATAAATGTAACTACCTGAATTTACCATCACAGCCAGCTGTGCCCATGGGACTTACAAAGGCCCGAGACGTTGCATTGTTTAAAAAAAACGCGCTATGGATCGGAAAAAAATATTTTACTTAAATGTGTAGCAATTGCGAAAGTCTTAGTACTCGAAGTATAATTTTTACTTACTTTGAGTAAAGCGCGTGCCACACCGCGAACGAAGCTAGGTAATTACTGCCGTCCACTACCTAACACGCGGCTAAGAGACAAATGGTCAAATAACCGTTTTACATAGCAAAAAATAGAGCACAAAATTCTCTTTTAAAAACAGTTGAAATTAGTTAACGTGTTCGACTTACCTTAACGGTGTTAGCTATGCAGTGCACGGCAGATTAGCTTAGCTTACGTAGTTACATGCAAAGCTAAGTTAAGGAAATACGTAGTAAGCACATCACGTGCTGCACTATGGATACGTGCAGGGTGAAGGGCGGCAGAAGGGCGCCATATTTTACATAGCTTAGCGGGATCGTTGGGTTAGTTTAGTCAGCTCGGTTAGCTTAGTTCGCGATGTGAACCGCAGTATGAATAGATGCCCCGGCTACGTCAGCTCCGCTGTGGTAGAAAAGAAGGCTATAGGCGCCGTGATTGTTTCCGTTCAGCTCTTTCGCTCCGCAGTCGACTCTATTGGTAGTAAATTTTTATATAATTATGTAATGGGACAAACGTGTTAAAAATTAACCTTCAATAGAGTTAATAACACAGTGCCGTAAGTATTAAGCATAGTAGAAACACCGATTGTGGCCACGGCGCCGCTTCTAAGAAAAAGACTAACAATGTATTTAAAGACACGCGTTAATTCTGTTTGGAAATACACCCTGTTTATGTAACATATTTCGTATCATAAAATGTGTAAGTTAAATTGTAATATCGAGAATTTAATTGGTGATATAATTTTGTGACCAGTTACTAGGTTGTGTTTGACCCTCCAATTTTCAAATCAAGTGTTGTTTTCTACAAATAATTTTCTATAAAAAAGTTTGTAACTAATCGTGAAAACTAGTACAATATCTTGTAGCTAGAATAATGGCAACTAAAAAAGATCGCTAAAACTAATAATTAGTATTTTTGCTATATATAGTCTATTCGCGTTAAGAATGCTTTAGGTAATTGTGATTAAGTTGTATAAGGCAGTTACCGCACTTATCAATATGGAATCGCGTTATGCCTGTCAGAAAAAGCAGTTACGTCCATGTAATAAGAGCGAAAAACGGCATTTCGCGTCGGTGATTAATTCGACCCGATGTTACTATGGTGGTATGGTGATTACTTAATTCTCCAATTAGAATTCCGTACTGCATTTCACGAGACTCCGAACTTCCTGCCGTATTCTTATAGCGTGTGAACTATAGGACTGTAGTAATAGAATATCATGTGATATACGTTGCCTAACTTACCGTACATTCTAAAATTATTTTGTGAATTATTTCAATGGCTGTAAATCATGCACAAATGAGGTCACATGACTAGCTCTTCGTAAGTTTGATAGATGATTAGTTTATCAACGGTATTGATACGATTGTACACAGCTTTGGCTAAAGGTCAATACGAGTACAGCTATAAATGTTTGTGACATATTTTTACTAATAGAAAATAAGTACAAAAAGTTTTAATAAACCCTAAACAATATCTGACGATTTTGGTCGACCGATCGCAATGAATCATACAATTATTGCCCTGTCTTAAAGGAACAGCACGTGGATTAATTGAATTTCTAAAATGTTGATATTGTAGCAGTGTCGATTATGTCACTATTTATTGTAACCTCTCAATTCAAATCATAAGTTCCCAAACTTTTTGGCTCAACACCCACTTAGGCAAGATAAAATAATTTCAACGCCGACCATCACAAAAGATAATTGAAAACATGTATTTTTTATATTAACTTAACACAAAAAAATCAGAAGAAAAAAAACTTATTTGTATATACAAATCTAGTGTACTAGAAATAGATCATTTAGGTTTTCTTTCAAATGCTGTAGAAACCCCTTGACAGCATCAATTGCTATCAAGGCCTCTGCCGCCCCCCAGGACTCTCCAGCGCCCACTGCGTTAGGGATCACTTTGGGAGTCTATTACTTAAATGGTTAACAACATTTTAGATCACTCAAATCAGCTTAGGGAATCATTGGGAGTGACAGAATCGACACCTGTATGATACAAATGTCACTTATGGGGTATTAAAAAACGCATGCTTTGCAAGCTCATAAGTCGTTTTGTGTTCGCATTAATTTATTTTTACAAAATTGTACCTGAAAATTTCAAGTAATTCGTATAAATACTAAATTACAGATGTAAAAGTTGTTTATTCTGGTCATAGAAACGAAAAGTCCTATTTATGCTCCAGTTTCTATAAAAGTACGTATCATTACAGTGCAGTTATTAATTTACACACCATTTGCCAATATAAAATTCAGAATTTGATATGACCTCTAACTACATAATTATGAAGCTGATATTTGCATGTACAGCTCTTGTTGTACTTAAAGTATAAATACACAGAACTAGTTATTCTAAATGTTGTACATACAGAGCTTGGAAAGTACATATAAAAATGGTTTATATGATAAACCGTAGTTAACGTTGTATAATATAGGACAATTTTTGATGTAATTTTTTAGTACTTAATTTATTTTTTAATGTATGCTGTACCTATACTTTCATGCATTCCTAAGGTCTTAACAGTTCAGAATATTCATCATATGAATAATAAAGTAAATTTATGGATACTCTCTCTTTTATTTTATTATAGATATGAAAAGGTTATTCGATATCCTTGTGACACCTTACGTATTTCTGCCGCCAAGCCACAGAATTATTTATGTGCGCCAAACGGTAATGCGAGCATTACTGCGTTCCGGTTTTGAAGGGTGAAATTACAGGCACATGGAATTTGTCAACTTATGTCTCAAGGTGACAGTAGCAGTGGCACTGCCCGTCAGATCTTTGCAATTTGAAGCTTTTGAGTGATACTACAAATCGCCAAGTCTCGGCGTATCGCTTAACACCAGAAGCGCGCGACTTGTCCCGTCAGTATCATAAAATAAAATATCCGGCCGGATACATACAGATGTTTAAAACTGAGATAAATTTATATTATGTACGCCAAATAAAATATTCAAAGAGGATAGCTACAGGGCAAATGCTTAATGCGGGTATTTTGCACAATTTAACCTTTAGCGGGTTCGCGGAGCTATTTTTTTATTAATAGGGTCGCTTCTAAAAACGACACGACTATTGACAATCTTGTACAGAATTGCGAATTTTGTACTCAAATTTAACTAAAAACAAATGAAAATGATGATGAGATCAGTTTCCAGTTTCGTTTCGCTATAAACGCTGCCAAGAAGCTGAAAGAATTAATAAATAAATTTATATATATATATATATAAGAAATAAATTTGTAAAAAAAATTCAAATTTTTTTGACGATCCTGACACTACTATTTTCATTTGCCACTTCGTGAAAACAATACCAAAAGGCGTATACACAGGTTACTTAATAGCGACGACGCATAGCAATAAAACTTTTGGTCGTGTTTCAGTGTCGTCACCTTTGTTTTTAGTACACGTTGGAACGGCAATGAATTTTCATTGGATGACTCATTGCAAGACATTGTAATATATTATAACAAGATTTTCTGTCGAGTTTTTGCAGCTTTTACATCTTGGCCACAATGAACCGGACATCCGGTCTTGGTGCTCGCCGGATATCCGGCCAATCGCTATCCGCTTTAAAATATAAATCGAGCATTTCGTAGAAAGCATATCGTACTTAGTCCAGCGGAAATTGACAATCGTGGGTCATATTTTTCCAGACTTAGGAACATACATTACACAGAAACAAATGACATTTCAATCCATAGATTTAGTATATAGGTACCCACATTAAATCTATGTTTCAATCTGAGAACTTACTAATGAAATTCAATAGTACTGCTAGCACTAAACTCTATTATACCGACCTCGGTAGCTCATAGCGGTAGCGCTGTTTGCCTTGTGGGCGCTGGATGAAGTCTCGAGTCAGTTTCTCGGTAGGACCAATTTGAGAAAGAAAATTTTCTACCAATTTTATAACAGCGAAATGTTGAATCGTCCAATAGGCACAAACAAGTTAAATCCGCTTGTTTTAAGCGGACTTTTACGTGTTTGTGAGATCTTTGAAATCTACATAATATTTTATATCTTAAGGAAATATTTTTTTATATTAATATTAGAATTTAAACTGGTTGTAAATCGAAGCCAAACTACTATTATTGTTTGTGTTGTTTTAGTACTTTCAAAAAATCACATTTCTTTGCCTCCCATAGAAATTGATGACAGTTGATGCAAGTTTTGTGAAAAGGAGTTTGTTCTAATTAAAGAGGAACGTCATATTGAAAAATGAAACCTTTTTGAATTTCACGTATGTAGGTACTTACAGCCAGTTAGGAGAAATGAAACAAAAGTGTAAATTCATATCTATTTATTTAAACTTCATTCAATATTAATTTTATTTAATCTATAACGTATAATATCATTATATAACAGTGTTTAATATTTGCGATATTCACATCAAGTCTAAAAAATATGAATTATATTTTATAATATATATAACATGACTTTACTGAACTGAAATACACTTTAGTAAATATACCTATGATTATACCTCTCTTTACAAATACCACCATAGAAATAAAATATCACTAAATTCTTACCATGTATTTAAAATAATGTACCTACTTAAAATAACCGAAATAAATGCTTGAGTATGGCAGCTTCTTACATTTACATATCGCGTATTACTCATCAACAATTTCGCACCTCGTCCGGTGAAACTGTGCCTTAACACTTACATTTGCACAAATTTACAGAAGACGTATTAAAAGTTTTACTTTTTGTTTTTAGGGCTACTGAGCACATTTAGAGAACTCTTAAATGTTATACTACTAGTATAGTATTATATTAAATGTGGTATAGTAGTATACTATTGTACTATACAGGGTGTAAATTTGAGACGGGGCAGCAAATCCAGCTACCTTAATCGTCGTAGTTACAGGAAAACGGTTCTAGAAGACTATCCATGAATTTTGAAGATATTTTGATTGGCATTCACAGATTTTGAAAAAATGGTACAGTCAGCAAGATAAAAAGCAATTTTTACAAAACTTTTTTTTATGCCATTCGATCCGGTCTCTGGTAAGGATCAATAGTCTCTATGGGACCAACTGAGGTAAGAGTACTCTAAATGTCAGAAATCGCAAAAAACTTTTTACCATACATTTTGTAGGGACCTATTTAGTAATCAGTTGTTCTAGGTAGTTAAGGAAACTAACAAATTGACAACGTATTATGTATTTCAAAATAAAAACAATAACGAAAAGCAAAATAACATAAAAAGTCTATGATAGTAAGTGCTCGAATTGATTCCCGCCTTGGTGGATGCATCGATTCGCTCTCTTCCGCAAAGAGCAAGTAGCGTCTGAAATTCTACTCAGATGGATTATATTGAAAATTACTGCAAGTGCGTCTTTCAATTGTTGAACACTGTTGTATTTTTTTTATAAATTTAATTTTTTTACATAGCCCCAAACAAAAAATAAGGCGTCAGATCAGGACGGCGCGGTGGCGATTTGATAGGACCATGTGTTCCAATTAATTTGTTTCCACACTTGAGAACATTTTGATTAAAAATCGTCTTAAAAGTGACAATTCTCTATTGACAAAACAAAACAAAGTTGTTCCAAATTTAAAAAATAGTGATATGATTATAATTTGGTTTTATTTATGTCTTATTTGTAGAGTAGTGCCAAGTTTCGTTTCTAACAAAAACTTTTCATTTAAAATGTGGAGTAAAAGATTTTTTTGCGATTTCTGACATTTAGAGTAGGTACTCTTACCTCCGTTGGTCCCATAGAGACTATTTATCCTTACCAGAGACCGGATCGAATGGCATAAAAAAAGTTTGTAAAAATTGCCTTTTATCTTGCTGACTGTACCATTTTTTCAAAATCTGTGAATGCCAATCAAAATATCTTCAAAATTCATGGATAGTCTTCTAGAACCGTTTTGCTGTAACTACAACGATTAAGGTGGCTGGCCTTGCTGCCCCGTCTCAAATGTACACCTGTATACTAATTTAATATTATATACTATATCAATAAGCATTTTGTCCTCTATGGAAAAATGCATGATGTCTTTGTTTTTGCGTATAAATTTCATTGTTAAGTCATTATAACATTGCGATGCGGTATGAGCTGAAGGATGATTCACATTAGACCGTGCTGGGCACGAGCCGTGTCCAAGTCATCTGAGCCTCAGACGTGCTGCATATTCATATTATTCACATTAGACCGTGACGGGCGCGAGCCGTGTCCGAGGCATCCGAGTCTCGTACGTGCCGCACGATCTTAAATTAGACAGAGTCAGTGTTCACATTACAACGAGCCGAGGCGGGCCGGGCCGCATCCGAGGCTCGGACTCGAATGCATATAAAATGTACGCAGCATTTCCAATCCGAACCTCGTACAGTCAAGAGCACATCAAGCTTGACAGTTCGTACTTCAGGCCGTTCTTATCGTAAACGGCATAGAGTTGGATTTAAGTCTTAAGTGTAAAGCTTGACGTGCTCTTGACCCTGTACGTGTCTCGGCCCGCGCCCTGCACGGTCTAGTGTAAATAGTCCTTTATTTCTGAACAGAACATCTGACGTTCCATCTCTATAGCAATGTCTACGTGATATTGGTTGAAAAGGCTGATAAAATATTTTTTTTCTCTGAAATGATAAAGTGCCGTGAGCTTTGCCTGCTATTCAGGGCTAATACCGTCTTAAGAGTTAGATTTTTTCAACACCGTTCGTGTTGTCAGTGGAATAAATCTCTTAGATATAAAGTCAAAGCAATTATCGATGTTTTTTTTTATTTCTGTACCTTTGCAAGAGTCGAAACTAAATGATTATCACTAATCATTAATTTGACGGCCAATGGCCCATCAGTTACTGTAGGCAGTGGGCGCTGGATGAGGAGGTCCCGGGTTCGAATACCGGTAGGACCAAATTAGGAAATGAACTTTTCTAAATTGGTTTTCGACGTTGTTGTTCTGATATTCATAGTACAGGTGAATCCCTAGTTTGAGACCAGGCAATTGGTGTGGTTGTTTGGCACATTATTATTATTAATTATTTACAGGTTTCTTACCCAGGCAGGATTTCTTTTTATTGATGCACACAAGTCAGCTAGTGTTGGATCATGGACAAATGTCCATTTTGAAAAAATCACATTATTCAGAAAAATAAAAAATGTCAGGATATTTTTCCAATATTTTTCCTTTCATTTTACATATTTGACATTGACACCTGTCAAAAGTTGAGATAAATGAACGAAAACGATGGAGCAGTCTAAAAAGGTTTTTTCGCTGTTGTGAAATAATTTTAAATCTCGTATTTCTTTATGTGGCTTTTAGCTATACAAGTTTATTTTATAATTCAGGCTAAATAAAAGTTCAAAATATTTGTAAACGTAGAACATAATATGAGCCTTCGAAATTATATTTTTCCAATTGTTCCGGAAAAATTTCCACTATTTGAAATTTTCCGGAAAATTATCTAATTGTAATTATAGTAGATCTTACTAAAGACGGAACGTCATTACCTACCACGTTTGGTACGAGAAGGCATTGATATCACAAAGTGCCAAACGTTTAACCGTGGAGACGGATTTAAACTTTCTATTGCGTGGAATCAGGTGCCTGTTGCTTATAACCACTACAACAATAATAATAAAAACAAAAATGGTTCGATTTCGTTTCGCGTGTGATTACAGTGAATATGGTTAGTCGGAAAAAATGAGTGACAATGGTAACGCCACAAGTAATCGAGATGAAGTTAGTCGTCGACAGCGAAAGAAGGTACCTAAATATCCCAGATGAAACCAAATATTGTCGTAACTTAAATTTGGGGAATTGAGAAAACACAATTTGAAAATTAAAAAAATACTGAACGGATCTTATTGCAAATAATGTGATTATTTTTAAATAAATATAATACTTAATTATCCACTTATAAACGAATATATATAACTAACGTCATCACAGGACTATTATCAACATCATAAATAACAATTTTGTTCCATGACTTTTTACAAAACGTAATAAATTTGTTATAATTATTAATACAAAGATCGAACTGTTAAAAAGTCGTTGAAAACCAAATACAAAGATTCAACAACAAGCACAGAAAAATTCGTGAGGTCCGCTGGTTTGTTCCGTGGCTTAGTTGGCATAGCATCTGGCACGGTTTGCTAGGAGACGTCGGTTCGAATCCGGACGGATCGAAGGAATTTTTTCTAAGAGTTCGAGCTTTGTATTAATAATTACAACAAACTAGTGGAATAATTTCACAAAAACAATTGAATATCAATTCAATAAATATCTAATCATAATAAATTTGCCAAAAATAAAGTTAAAACGATGCGTATCAAAGTAAAATCTGATGAATTATTAAAATGGAACAAAAGTTGTTCTTTATGATGTTAGTATATAATCCTGCAAGGATGGATATTTTAAAAATAACCATGTGAATATATAGCTTTTTTTTCAATTCTCAATTCGACAAATCTTGAGTTACGACAGGCAACCCGTGACTATGGAAAATAAAAGAAATCTCACCGTGGTCACAAACCTGTAAATAGTGATAATTGAATCTAAATTTATCAGCCTTTCAAATAAAAATCCAACTAAACGTAATTCAATGACAAAATAGAGCTGTAGGAATTCTGTAGGTTTAGTTATTTCTTTGTTCATACCTCGTCGAATGTCACAAATCGCTATTTACAATAAATCTATTACCTTCGGAGTGTTTTCCTGTGTACTTGTAGTGACATTTGCCGTAGGCACCTGAAGCATAACATTAAATTATTAATTGGTGACTACTTGAAACATTAATTTTTAAGATAAAAGCTGACAAGTCGCTATACTATAATTGAAAAAAAAAAGAGCTCAAAAGTTGGTGGAATTACATCTATTTACCAAGTTTTATTGAAATCGGTTACCAGAAAGTGCGCAAAACCGGATTCATTGCCACCTTTAGAGGTGGAATATTTTCTTCAAATTTAAATGGGACCAATACTGTGGTACCCTCTTTCCAAACAAAAAAATAATAATCAAAATCGGTTTACAAATACCGGAGTAGTCGCGTAACATACCTACATACTACCTACGTAATAGATATTTTTTGAAGTCGGTTAAAAACTAGTAAGGGGGAAAGTAAAGGTATATTCATATTATAAAACAATCTATCATAATCTCAGTACAGAGTACTAAAAAAACCGACCTCAAAATTACGTGGAATTACATCTTGTCATGTTTTATTGAAATATCCCCTAGTTCGACACTATACAGGACTTGACACAGGAGATAATCAAAATCGGTTTTCACTACTCAAAGTATATTGAGAGATAAAAACGCCTTGAATTGGAGAATAGCAAAACCAACCATAAAAATAATTGCGCCTTAAGTAAATTTTAGGCGCTATGTATAAAAATGAATGTTCATGCGTGATCAGCCACCCTTAAAGTTGGATGATTTTCTTCAAAATAAAATGGGACCACTATGGAGGTACCCTCTTTCCAAGAAAAAAAGAATCATGAAAATCGGTTCAAATACCGGAGTTATCGCGTAAAATACATACAAAAAAAACATACAGTCGAATTGAGAACCTCCTCCTTTTTTTTGAAGTCGGTTAAAAAATAGACATCCTTCAAAGTAATATGCGTGCCAAAAAGTAACTATTAAAGTAACTATTACAAAAAGTACTAATTGACTTGGAAATGGTATCGCTGACGTTCTTTAAAATTCAGAAACTTTGCAAAATAACATAAATTTTCAAGATTTTAAAAAATTGGACTTGATCGCGTATAAATATTTTATTATTTACCTCGGTGTATTGCAACGTCCATGGTCTCGAAGGGACTGAAGACTGAAGAAGGTGGGTGTCAACATCTGCAGCCTTGCGAGTTTTTCTATCATCTATATCTGTCTATTCTATAAATCAATGTATAAATGATCAAATTCACCTTTGTGTTTGCCCAACGCCGCAAAGTCAACAGGTAACGGTCTCTGTCTGTTAAACGATGCAAGAGCGGGTGTGGAGGCATCAGTGACATCATCCGCCGGTCTGCGTACGCGCATGAACTCGCCTCGCGTAACCGCCACCTTCCACTCCGTTGGCGACACTCTTCGGGAATCCAGGAAGCGCAGGTTTTGCACTTTGTATATTACGAAATATCTGAAAAATAAAACTTAAGTATTATTTGCTGTTATAAGTACTGGGGGTCCTTTCCAAAAACAATCTTGAAATTGTTTTTGGAAAGTTCAATGTAAGCTTAAAGTAAGCTTATTATAATATTGCTCGTATTCATACCATGACGAACCTGTCAACCAAATAATGTATAATTACAAAAGTGATTGAAAGACGAATGATTTCCCAATATTGTCTATTCCTTACTAAAAATAGGAAAGAGATAACGCTATGTGAACTATATAATGCCATCTCTTTCTTTGTTGATGTTCTCAATCGTCTTATTGTAGTGTAATTTTTAAGTACTTAATGTTATTTACATTCAGAGAATTTTGAGTGTTAAAAAAAGAAAAGTATGTAATAATAAAATCTATTAAAATTCCACATTTTCATGAAGAAAAATAAACAAAACAAGCCGAGTCTTGATAGTCACGTTGTGAATAAATTCGGAAATATAGTCGAGTGTCAACTGTTAGTTTCGCCAAGGAGCATATGGATGGCGCTGTCATAATTTTACGAAATAAACATCGCGTATTTTTATTTAACGAGAAATTATTTACTATGTGCTATTAAATAAAAAATAAACAAAATAATGAAGAGATATATGTAAATAAATAAGTTCAATTTAACTTTTAATCATTACAAATCAATAATAAGACAATTAAATTGAAAATAATATTGTTTCCTTTGCATCCGTGTAACTAACTATTGTAAGATTGCTAAATTTGACATAAGAGCAATACTACTTTAATGTTAAAGTCGCGTCGTAGTACGAACTGAGTGAATGAATGAAAGTCACAAAGCTGCCAATAAAACATCATAGTTTTAACATTACAATACGCTTACTTGAAGCGCGTTATGGTACGATAAGTCAATGTAAGGTTAAAGTAATATTGTTTTAAGAGGTGGTGATAGGCCCCCAGTAGGGTTTATGTGATCTGTGTTTCAATTTCGTTACAGTAGGTCTGGTCTTTTTGAATTGATTTGTAATATGACAAAAAGAGACTGAAACCTGCGACTTCACAGAGTCGCATAGCACACTACTACAAAATAAGATAGAATTAAATTATTTTAACGTTAGAGCTTATGCATACAGCGTATTTTTTATACGCAAATGATGCGCGTTCACGCGATTCAAACAAGCTTCGGTCATAGCCCATAAATCTTCACACACGTTCACAAATTCAGTGGCGGCGTAAAAGCGCGTTCGTGAAACGCGCATCATATACGCGTGCAAAATATGCCGTGTGCATACGTGCTATACAGAGGACTGGGAGTGGCGGTGCGGCGGCGCAGTGTCGTGAGCACGCGCCCGTCACACGCCATTTTTCTCAGCCTTGCAAAGCGATGTTGTTATTATTGAATCGCTACAAAAGCACGTAAAACGCGATACAAACTAAATACGAACGCGACTCTCGTTTGAATCGATACAAATATAACAATCTGCTTTTTTTACGGCGACGTAAACGCGTGTAGTCTGTGCTTAAATAGTGTGCTCTTAGAATACGTTAATAAGTTATTGTAGCATTCTCGCGAATACGGTACTCTACAGTGTGGACATTTTATTATACAAAGCATAGTCTTCAATGGTATGTATATTCTATATGGAATGTGACCTTTTATTACTGTGATTGGGTTCTCGGAGAACCCTTTGCCTCTGCGGTAACCACTTTATAAGTGTGTTACTCTTCTCGTAGTATCTCGTAGTAGATATCGGGAATTGTGATGAAATAGAATAGAATCTAAAATATCGTAATACATCTTAATCATATTATCAAAGTTACATTTAAAATGTAATATCAACAAATAATACGATCGTTTATAATATAAATAAAGGTTGATACAAAACAAAATGCTATAACAAATAATAAAACTAAATATTATCAAAATAGAATAGAATAGAATAGAATAGAATCGTTTATTTCATGTTATCAATGTCACAATCTCAATATCTCAATATAAAATAAAATTACAAAAAAATTGTCGTTTGTAGCAATACTTCAGGTTTGCGAGTACAGTTCGTACTAGGTACCTATCCGGGACTACTCAATGCGTGTCCGGTATATTATACATATACTTCAGATTACGTACGCAAGGCCTCCACCCGTACGTCCCCAAATATATTTAACTTTTAACACATGTAAATTGCCTTGCGGTAGATAAAGGTAGGTGGTACCTACCCAGGTGGTTTCTCCAAAGACAGGAACGTTACCGCCAAACATGAACTTGTGACTTACAACGTCATCAATTAGCCTTACGGAGTACCTAAACAGCTTCTCATTTTCTACGTTCTGGTAGATTTAGATATAGCATTCGTACCTATATCTCTGATAGTCTGAGTCGTCCTTATCCACGTCAGATAGTTGGTTAGGGCATGCCTTGTTGCTAAGCAGGCTAAGGTATGTCAGCGAAGGGAAACTTCGGCCAATCTTCTTTATTAACACATCTAGGTCTGTTATCTGGAATATTGAATTTCTTATAGAAAATAGGAAAATGATAATAATAGTGATGCAAAAACTGAACCTAAAATAAAGCTGTTATAATTGTATTGACTATAATATCAACTTAAGTGTTATCTGCAGAAGAAATGTTTTCGTTTAAATTCTGTCGGCCCACACAAATTGTTAGTCGTTATTCAGGGTGATATTTTATTAGCGTCTTTTAAGAGGTGATAGAACCCACTAGTTGTACTGTGTGGGGCCATAATAAAATTTCGAGAAAACAGTAATTTCTTACAAAATACCTACTCGATTTAAATGCATGGAATTGCTGATTTATGTATTTTTGTACTAAAAAAGAAAGTTTCAAGGCTTTGAGTAACGCATGGTTTAAAAACTAAGGAAGAAAGAGGAGAATTTAAGATCTTTGGTTCCGATTACATTTCTAAAAACGTACTGTTATATTTGTAAAATGTTAAGTTGTATCTTCTGTCCAACACGTCCCCAACGAAAGTACATAACTCAATGGTAACAAAGAAAATAAATTCATGTACTCCTATACTTCATAAAGAATGTCGGGAACATCGGAATTACAAGTCTGGTAGCTTTATATTGTCCGAGAAAGGCGCTATTTTTGAACAAGTACAAAAATACCTCGCATAAATTAAGTCCCGCGACACTGATAAGGGTGTTTGGAAGAAATATGGACTGTAAACACCCGGACGACGTGTGTTGGTCGTAACGTGATCGTAACCATGTAATAGCAAACTATGCCAGGCTACATTGTTACCATTTTCAGGCGAGGTTTTGACGTTACACTCTTACATAGAGTCCTTCCATTTTAGAGTTTTTGTCTACGTTTTTCATATAGAAAAATTAGTCCTACACAAGAATGAAGATGTAGGCACAGGTTGGAGATATTAGTTCGACAAAAAAAAATTGTAGCTTCTGCTTCACTTGCGAAAATGTAAATTTTTCCTCGTAAATACTTTTGGTATTTTGAATGATACGCAATAAATCGTACATTTCAGGTAGTAGGTTCCGATGAATAATTCAAATTTCATATAAAAAAAATCTGAATGAAATTGCCGATTGTTGTTTATAAATTCAGAATCTAAAGGCCTGTTCAAATATTAGCCTTATTCGTTACCGCTGCTGCTCTGTGGGTAGCGAAAAATATATAATAAATAAAAATCCCGCCGGGTATTTGTATAAAGTTCCGCGGTACTACGCTATACCGCCCAGTTAGGCGGTATCTTTTCGTTTGCTTTGCGAAACAGGTTTCGCCACACGATGCGGAAGAAGTGGCAAATTCATCCCTCTGCACACCTTGCGAGTCAGTTGGTGATGATTAGTTGGCATAATAATAAATGATGGCGAATAATGGATTTAACTACCCACAGCGGTAGCGATATCCACATAGGTGTTAACAGTGGGAATACCGCGTACCTACTCACCTGGATTTCGGTACCCACAGCGGTGGCGAATAACGCGTATATTTGAACAAGCCTCTGTGCGTACTAAATGGCGCATTTACACCCGGTGTAAATAGCCCGATGTACGAGTATTTACACCGGGTGTAAATGCGCCATCTCTGCCGCCTTCACTTATAAAATCCTAACGTTTAATTCCAGTTGAAAAATTGATCCGCAATACTGCCGTCCACAAACTAAAACGCGGCTATGTGACTAACCATTTTTTGAGTTATTATAAAAGAACCATAACCCAGTTTTAGAACATTGAAATTATTTAATGATATTTTAGCTTTGCGTCATTAGTTCCGTTCTGATATGTCAAGTATAATATCATTGGATATGTCGGTCACATTAACTTTAACTGTTTTTAAATAGAGAATGCGAATCTGTCTTTATCTGAAACGGATATTTGGCAACTTGTCACTGAGATCGCGAATGATTTTATTCGTAAATACCTACGTCGTAATGTCGTGATGTAAGTCACGGAGGCAGTAGTGGAACGGAGGTACAACCTATGTGATTTTGGAACGGCGTTCCTTCGGTAAAAAGTCACGGTTATACTATTGACGACTGATCACTGTGATTTTTTCATCCTGATGATAATTACCATCCACCTCTACACACCAGCCGCTTTTGGTAGACTTCGACTGCGAATTACCGTCATCAGACAACTCAGTATTTACACCGGGTAGCTTGCCACCTCCGATCAAAAGGCTAAACCGGCCTGTCGTAACACATGGGGCGCACTATAAGTTTCTGGGGTGAATAACAAAAAAATACTATAAATGGTCAGAAATGAATTTATTGTTTCTCAAAATATTCTCCGTTAGCGTTAATGCACTTTTTCATACGAATGAACCAATTTTGAAAACTCCGTGACAATCTCTTAAACATATTTTTCATATTCTTCGACAGCCTCTTCAGGTGATGAAAATCGTTGACCGCGTAAATGGTACTTAATTTTTGGAAATAAATAAAAGTCACAAGGTCATCGTTGTTCGAAAATTCATTTGTCTGTCTGGCCGTGTGAGAACTGGCATTATCGTGGTGCAAGATGGTACGGCGTTTACGGTTACTTCCTTCCGGCAAACAAATGGTCGTGTACCAATCACTATTCACGGTACAACGATTCTCCAAAGCAACAGTAGCCACGTGTCCAGTATTATTAAGGAAAGAAGCAATCATCCGCTCATCCGCTTAGAGGCACTTTACACGCGCGCCACTTTGGTTGGTTTCGACTCATCTCGAAAGACCCTTACGCTCGATTGTTGCTTTGTTTTGGGATCGTAACTATAAATCCATGTTTCGTCACCTGTTACTATGTCCCACATCAAATTTGACCCCCTTCGTTGAATCTGGTAAGCATGGCATTGCACCAAGTGACGCGATCCGTTTTTTGGGCCTCATTCAATTTGTGTGGGATCCACCGAGAGTACAGCTTTTTCACACCCCAATGTTTGTGTAGTATTGATTGTATTTGACTCATGCCTATGCCTAAAGATGCCCGAATCTCATGTATGTCACATGCTTGTCTGTTTTGATCATACGGCGCACAGCATCGATGTTTTTGTTGTTCACAGCAGTGGACGGGCGACCATCACGAAATTCGTCACTGATATTCACACGACCGCGTTTGAAGTCTGCAAACCAGCTATAAATAGTCGCCTTGCATGGTATTTCATCGCCAAAAGCAGTTTGAAGCCGAGTGAAGCTCCGCTGAGCTTTTAAAAACTTACTTAAAGTCGTAGAAAATCATACTACGAAAATTCTCACGAATTAAATTCATGGTGATGTAGACAACCAATTTCTAAAATGACGCCACAATGTAAAAACAAGTGACAGTCAGATGAAACAAACTGTATTCTACAGCCAAACAGTTCCATTTTCAAATGTTGTAATTACTAAGTGGCCAGTTCCGGAAACTTATAGTGCGCCCTATGTATCTTAATTACATAGTTAGTCTTCTTCTTTTTGCCGAGTCAATGACAAAATCCAATAAAATAACAAGCAGCGTTAAATTTATTTAGCCCAAACTTTTATACGAATAGTCGCATAAAGCGTCTTTACCACAGAACTTTTTTCTTCCGTGGTCTTTACTATACAAGAACTGTAGGAGGTAACTATTATAGGCGTTTCAGCGGTTGCAAAATTAAACATGTGTGCTTTATATTATTTGTTTATGAAGTGTATGTTATATTTTGCACGCACTATAACACCTATAATCCAATAGATGTTATTGTACCTGATTGTTATTCAGCGAGAGTGTCCGCAGACGGGGCAAAAGCGGGAAACCCACGCCATCAGATAATTTATTATTATCTAGTATCAGCTCCTCCAGTCTCGGAAATTGTTCCAGGCCTGACAACGTCTCGAGGCAGTTGTAACTGAAAGTAGCTTTCATCATGTTAATTGATGTAAATGCTTCAGGTCTAATCGTGTTTACCTTTTGATTCGGTTACGACACGACACGATAATGACATCTCTCCGATCCAATAAACCCATTAAACATTATTAATTTTCTTTTATCTGTTTCCTCGAACTGAAGGCGGATTTATCAGACTTTTAATTAGTTTCAAGAGTGAATTTTGTCACAGATGCATACATACTGCAGAAAAGTCTGAGAATATATTTACTTTTGGCTCCTGAAACGTGGTGATGCGACCTACCTAAGGATTTTTGACACGCTCATAACAAACATTGGTTTGCCTAGGACTAATCAATAGAAAAAATTAGAACTTTAAAAACGCCTGGATTTCAAATGTCGAAACTTAGATAGTTACCCTATATAAACTTGTCCATAATATGTTAATTCTGAGGTTCTAATTTATAGTAGGTACTGTTTTATGTTCAGAATAAGGTTTTCTTTAGTGTTGTGATTGTAAAGTGTAATTAAGGCAATGAAATGGTTGCCCTTTTTAAAAAAAATCATGGGAACAATTTTAGGAATAAAGAGTTTTTTTTGGAGAAATAGACATTTTATTTTTTATCTCGAAATGTAGGAAAATGTAATGCGTATGGTTTATTTACAGTATAGGTCCAATCATTCTCTATCAAGAAAAAATAATCCATCTGCAGGTACTTGCGGCTTTACGAGTAGAAGGTGGCAAATTCTTAGAATTGTTATTTATTTTTTAACATTATATACTAGTTTCTACTTAACTTTCGTGTTATTGTTATAACACTCTCTAAATTACACTAAAATTAATTTGTTTTTAGTCGAAGCTGATATATTTTGTTAAAAAAGTACATAAAAAGTTGACAATTTTGCCGCACCTTACTTACAAAACCGCAAGTACGTGCAGACGGATTATTTATTTCTACATAGAAAATGATTGGAACTATACTGTAAGTAGCTCACGCACATTACATTTTCGTATATTTTGAGATAAAAAATAAAATGTATATTTCTCCACACAAAAAAAAATTTTTTTTTTCTCCGAAGCTATCAACTTTTCAAGAAGTTATACAAAAATAAAAGTTGTTGGGAATGTTATTATCTATCACATAAAAAAAAATAGCTCGATACTCCACAAGTTATTCCTATGTCCAAGAATTCTCAATTTGGGCCCACGTGTGGCGCTGTGGATCTACTCTAGTTCTCGTTCGACATGCCATCTGAAACAATACTGTCAAATAAGTAATTCTCGACCAAATCAAAAGTATCAAGTAGGAAGCTTCATTCGCAACATGCGTGTTTCAATTTAGTCAAGTATTACTTATTTGACAGTAATTGTTCCGGACGGGTGTCGGACAGAGAACGGGAGTAGGCCCCCAGGGCCAGGAGAGTTGGCGTGCTCAGGGGAAAGCTTATGTTCAGTAGTGTAAAACTCATAATCGAGTTTTTTTTAACTAATACTCCTATTCCTATAACGTAAGGTAAAGCATGGTGGATTTAACGCCATAATAAATAAGCTGGATTATATTGACCCGCAATAAATTGTCGTATTTGCCAAAAAGAGCGCAAACATGTTAAGATAAATAAAGAACGGTCAGCGTTAAAATAACCATAGAGGTCAAACTTTCTATACCTTTTCCGGGAAGTAGGCACATACTAATATTTGCTATATTTTCGTATGCACTTTAATCTTAAATGAAAAATATATATACGTTCGACTTTCTACTTGGGAAGGGTGTTACAAAATGTCCTAAATTAATTTTAGTTATCCGAGTATTTATTTATCACTTACCTTAAGTCTAAATATTGCACCTTGGCCCCATACATCCTCCATAATCCTGGTGGTATCCTCTTACAATCTTGTCCACAGTAGCTTAACTTGGAACAGTAAAATAATGTTTTCAAAATTGTTTGTTAAAGTTTCAACAAGTTCGACGTAGCATTTCAATTTCAGTACTTTACATGGAATAAATAATACTATCATCTTGTGTTGTTGGTTCAATCAATTACGTGATAGATAGATAACATTTACTTACAACAAGTATTTATATAGGATGCGGATGGCAGGAGAAGTGACGTCCAAAAGTAAAATTTAGGTGCCTCATATTGAGGGGTATCCGAATCACCTTCATGTATGTTCCGTGATTTTTCACGTTTTCGAGTTATGAATTTTTTTATGGATTTTTGGAAATTTTCAACCGGGTCGGCTGTAAAAATTTTTTTTCAGTTTGTAGGTTTCTTCGGGATTTTGTTTTATAACTCAATCTGTATGAATTGTACTTTCACGCTTAAAATAATCAGCTTCGTAACATCAGTGGAAGGAAGAATGGAATTGTAAGGGTGCTGGTGACATTACAGGCATATGGGACTTGTCAACTTACGTCTCAGGGTGACGGCGCAGTGGCAGTGCTCCTCAAATCTTTGCGATTTGAAGCTCTGATTGGCACTGCAACTGTTATGGACAGGTGTGTAGAATACCATCAGGCGCACTTGTTCGTCCCGTCACTTTATTACAAAAAAAAATGGAAGCTACGAAAGTTTTGACCTAAAGTGAAGATGTCACGTTCGAGCGAGTCCGACTTGCATTATCAACTTTAAATAAAAAATTTAAAAATGTAATTCCATAGTTTCATCACTATTTTTTTATTATTATTTATCACAGATTAAGTTACAATACAAAATCCCGAAGAAACCTTTCACAAATTGAAAACAAAATTTTTTTGAGCCGATCCAGTTGAAAATTTCCAAAAATGCATTAAAATAATCATAACTCTATTGAATTGAATTTCGATCGTAAATGACAATTGACATCAACTGAGTAACGGTTTTGGATTAAGAGGTACTTATTAATTTTAATTGCAGAACCTGTGGACTTCACTTACAAACAGATGCGTATATTATATTTGATATGTATAGATTGTTTGACACTAAATTATTAATAAATAATTATATAAAAGTGTTCTAGTGTCACAGGTGTACGTTTTGTGCGGGAAGTATATAGGAACTGAGAGATTAAAACGGGAACGTAGATAATAAAGAAGCCAGCTTCTTTATTATCTACGTTGTATGTCCTTCCTACATACCCCCAGGGGTATGTAGGAAGGATGTACAGGGTCAAGAGCACGTCAAGCATGACACTAGAGGTTTAAATTAAACTCTATGCCGTTTGCAATAAGGACAGTCCAAAGTCCAAAGTGTCAATCTTGATGTGCAAGCTTGATGTATAGTCAACAATAGAAAGCCGGAGTGATAGCCATTTTAAGTTACATCGAAATTCAGCGATATGGTCATATTTACACAGACCGAATATAAATCGGATTGCCAGAATTTTATGAATTGTCTTTTTTTTAATTTTCCTGTATTATTGTGGATTTAAGGTGTTTGTCCGACGTCGACTAGCGCCCAAAAGGCGACTGACAGGGCAGTGAGCTGAGCGACGTGTCGTTAAACCACTGGGATATTTTCATATTTTGGGATAAATGTGAATTTAATTTATAATAACTATAGGGCTTCAGTTGAAACCTTAGCAAGTTCTCTGTAGTACTTGAAGAGAAATATCTCCATATAAAAATGATGTGCAAAGTCTGATATTTTACTAAATAATTCGTTTTAGACTTTTATTTTAACCTGTTTTCAGGATTTTATACGATCGAGTAAAATATATTCTATCGTGTAACAAATTAGCACCGTCTTTGGACAATTCTTAGCAGTATTGTATATTTTTCGTAAGACCGTTATTTAAATAGTAAATATCTAAACCATTTTGGTCTAGCAAAACAGTTGTTCTCGCTTCCCCTCCGGTGACTTGCATTAATGTGTTTAGTGTTAGAAACAAACCTTAGGCGTCCGTAATTACAAAAGCATGCCGTTTTCATTAAATTGTTATGATAATAGTACATTTGAAAATGAGTAGTACAAGTGATTTGGCCGATATTATGGGATAAACTCGGCGATGAAGTTTTGACTGTGGCGCAAAAGATGATAGTCTCTTGCGCCGAAGAAGACAAATTTTTAAATTGCTACTTATGAAAATTTCTAATCGTGGTAAATCCCAAAAATGCGGTTTTTTCAGAATTTGTACTAAAATATTACTAGTGTGTTACACGTACTTGTAAAATTATTACGAATTTGACACGATTAAATTGGTCTAAATAGTTCGGGGCTAAATCGTCACCTCGTTTGCATTAAAAGATTTTCCGCCCTAGTTACACAATGCGTTATTTTTATATTGCCATTATATAACTGTTTACGTAATAAAAATACAGGGTTAGGTTAGGTTAGGTATAAAAGTGCCGTTCTATATAGAATTCAAACGAAAGAAAAATATTTTAGTAATTATATAATATAGCCTAAATTTGCAAAGCTATTTCCTGCTTTGCGGTAGAATAGTAGATGGCGAACGGGAACCCACAAAGTCATAGAACTTATTTTCAACTGCTTCATGGGAACTAAATTATTTTAAAGGTATCTAAAATTCGGAAAAAATTGTAATCGAGAGGGACCAAGTTAGAATGTATAGAGGTCGAAGTAGAGCTTCAATCTGCAACTCTTATAAGATGAACTTGGTTTCTACATGTATTTACTCTGAATTTATAGAGTGGAAGTAACGGTGAAGATCAGTCGTAATAGTATTATCATTAAGTAAGATGCTATTATCATTAAATTTCTTCATAGCGATCAGCTGCCATGATTTTATCTAACTCAGGAAGCTATGGCGGGTTACTTCGCAGCTGGAGCTCCAAACCGATACCATAATTTATTTGTGGATTAAGTTTTTTTTGGATACAGACACACTGAACACCATTGTTTATCGTTTACGATTATCATAAATAATTAGTTTTTCATCGCAAATAATGATGCAGCCGGGAAGTCCTTGATCCCTTGAGCCGGTTTATTAAAACAAAATTTGAAACACATGTTGCGGACAATTCGTGTTTGTCATACTTTTGTTCCCTGTGTTCTACTTTTTCACGTTACCGATTTGTTGCTAATGGGACAGTATAGCTACAGCAGTAAATTTCTAAGTATGTTGCGATGAATCAGCTTCAACAGTAGCTCATAACCCGGTTTTATTCACCGTAGGTGCTGACCTTGCCGAGGCTGCTCATGTTTCCTAAAATACCTACTGCGTATTCGGGCAAAACCAAAACCGCACAGTGCATTCATTAGTGGTGTCCGCTGCATCTTTATGTATGTCGTCTGCGCTCACGCGCTCAGTCTCAGTCAGTACGCGACGCGACGCTTCAACTCTGCGCCAGTGTGAATTGAGCCTTAGTGCTACATCAAAAAGTATACATATACGTTTGCATTTAAATTTCATGCTTTAACGAATTATTATGAAACGCCTCTCGTTGGAGTAATAATTTTTTTCCAAAAGTTACAATTTAAAAAGTAATTTTTCTTTTTGGTATTGATATCTCTCAAAGAATTTGATTAGGTAAAATTGTATCGAGTTCTTAGGTTTTCGCGATTATTACACATAGGAAATGAAACTATTTTTCCGGATTTAAATCGCGTATATCACATAATCATACAAACCCTTTTTTTTGAAAAAACAAACCGGTTTGTTTGAAAAAACAAATACACGCGATTTAAATCCGGAAAAATAGTTCCATTTCCTATAGGTAATTGTGCTAAAATATTTTTTCTGAAACTTTATTCAATAAAAAACTAACCTCAAAAGTGGTGAATCTATTTGCCAAGTTTTATTGTAATCAGTTAGCGGCAAGTGAGTACGATACCGGATTAATCCCCTAGTTTGCCACCCTTAGAGGTGGAATATTTTCTTCAAATTTAAACGGGACCAATATTGAGGTAACTTCTTTCTAACAAAAAGAGAATCTATCTGGATTATCTAACTGGGTGATAAAATTTTCATAGATTTCTCATAGATGGCGCTACGACTAAAAAGTCGTTGAAAAAAACTAAATACAAAGATACAATTCAAGCACAAAAATATAAAAAATATATAAATAGAAAAATTCGTGAGGTCCGCTGGCTCGTTCCGTGGCTTAGTTGGTATAGCGTCTGGCACGGGAAGTAAGACGTCTCGGTTCGAATCCGGCCGGATCGAAGGAATTTTTTCTGAGTGTTCGATCTTTGTGTTAATAATTATAGGTAACAAACTAGTTGAACAATTAAAAAAAAATTGAATATCAATTCAATAAAAATTTTAAAAAGAGAATCGCCAAAATCGGTTGACAAATGCCGTTATCGCGTAACATACTTAAAAAAACAGTCGATTTGGTAACCTCCTTTTTTGAAGTTGGTTAAAAAAAGGAAAATTTCTTCTAGATAAGATATCTTTAGCCCATTTCTTTAGGTACTTAACTAAATGTAAACAATCTTGAAATGTCTATTTAATGAAATACCTATACATTTATAAAATGATTTTTACTTACCTTCAAATACAAATACTTGGTTTCATACGAAATTGCATGCCTATTTTTATACCTATTGATTTGTAAAGTACGTGTTTCAATAAAAATATTTATCAAGATTGTTTACATTTAGTTAAGTACCTAAACAAACGACTATAGAACAAATATTATTTTTTATGATAGATATTTTTATTAGTTTAATTACAGTAATTACGTGTTTCGAGTATCAGTGCCGATTTGGCCGGCCCGTAGTTAGTACGAGTAAGTTATTACAGTCACAACAACTTAAATCTTGCAGATTACGGGTTTGCTATGAGATATAAGAATAGCTACTGATTTTTCTTTACATTAAAAACAAAAAATTACTATGTGCCTTACATAATTTCAAGTAGAGCGTCCGTCTGAACTCCTTTTTAAGAAAAATAAAATTAGATTACGGTTCATTACAGTTATACATACTGCAAAACAAGTAGCTAAATTGATTAAAATGTTCATTTAGATTTCAAACTTCAATTGCGGCCTCTGTAATCCTAAAACGTCATAATCAAAACGAAGGACTTTAATTCGGTTTTGTAATCTAGGACAAATTCTGCTAGAAAGCCGTTTAAAATCCTTTAAACTCTCATTTGATTATTGTACAAATCCAAAACGGAAGTTCTATTAGTTGTAGAAAATGAATTTTCAAATACGGAGGCCAAACCGCGATAAAATTTGCACCGACCTATTATATCAACGTTACAACTAGGTTACACTGGCCATGGGTCACGAGCTGATACCAAAAACACATAAATATGTCAGTGACGTATTGGCAACCTACCTCTTCTAAGTACGACACTAAAACCGACACTGTAAATTAGCATTAAAGACATATTATAATATTATTTCTCTAGACCATATAAGGTAATTTGGTAGCAACAGCGCACTTTGTAAAAGAGTTCGTCCAGAGACGTACTGTCACTAACCATTTCTGTGCCAAGCACTACGTGTGCATTACAGTGTTCGGATTTTGAAGGGCTGTGTGAAATTACAGGCACATAGGAGTTGCCTACTCAAGTCTCAGGTTGGGGGGGTGCAGTGACAGTACCTACCCCTCAGACCTTTGCGATTTAAAGCTTTTAGTGGCACTGCAACTGCTATGGACAGGCGTGTCGCTAGTCGTTTTCCTATAAACGTTATAAATTTACACATTTGACCCTGTCAAAAGTTGAAGATACTGAACTCTATTATGCTAACTTGTGTGAAAATAAGTCAGCAGGGTTTAGAAAATTACATTTGCAATGTTTATTATAATTTTATTTTATAATTCATGTTGTATAAACAACAAAACATTAAAAGATATATCTAAACGTAGAACATAATATGAGTCTTCGAATTTTATGTATATTTTCCAATTTTTCAGAACTTTTTCCTCAAAAACTTGTATTATTTGAACTATTTCGGACTGTTATCCAACGCTACGTACAAGTAAATAATAACAAAAAACTTTTCATCGAATCTGCTATCGCAGATCTTATTTGTAGCCTAATATAATTTAATTAGGTGTCTTATAGTATGGGTTTTCGCCAGGGTTAAATTCGAACAAAACAAATGGAAAATATATCTATTCAAAACTGGACTACTTTTGGTCTGAGGAAGTTGAGATAGGTATATTATACATTTGGATGGTTCAAGTTTAAAAAGATCTTGGAATGCTGTATTACTTACTTTTAAAAATAATGTCTCCATGTAACAATTTTTTTTTTCTGTAACATTTAAAATACTTTCCCTCAGACTCCTATTGCCATGAGACGCCCTGTATAAAGGTACATATTTGTTCCAAACACAAAAAGGTTACTGCGCGGCTCCATCGAGCCTTAAGTCGTCTGTGATGACAGGCAGCGTAAATACACTGAAGGGAGGATTCTTCAAATGTAGGGTTATGTCAAAATAAGTTAAATAAGTATAGATAATAGTGAAGTAAGAAAAATGTATCTAGTCTCAGTGACAGCGCTGGGTAAAATATGTGTCATGTCTTAATTGAAATATAAATTACGAAATACTTTTTATACGTATTTAAAAAAATAATGAGGCGTATTCCAAAATGTACAAAATACAGTATTTTGATTTCATTTATTTAAAATACAAAATAGAAGTTACAGAATACAATCGACTATCGACACCATGAAAGTTTTTTTATGACACTAACTGGCGGAAAGAATAAGTCGTGCGCCTGGTGGTAAGTGACACGCCTGTCCATAGCAGTTGCAATACCACTCAGAGCTTTAAATCGCAAAGATCTGAGGGTCACGTGCTTCTGCGCCCGTCACCCTGAGAAAAAGTTGAAAACTCCCATGTGCCTCTAATTAATTTCACCAGCACCCTTATTCTTTTAAGAAATCGGAACGCAATTAAGCTTACATTACTGCTTCGTGGCAGAAATAGGCAAGGTGGCAGTACTTCCCTGGACCAACTCTATCACAAGGGTCTCTACTGCTACTAAAGTATTCGAAATACGAATTACAAAATACATTATTAAGTAGTAATCGAAATACAAAATTTGTATTTGTACTTAATTCGCATACATATTTAATTTTCTTGTACCCAGCTCTGGACAGAGTGGCTCACACATAGTCTGCCATAATTAGAAACTGAGAAGAGTACTTGAGAGCTTGAAATTATGTGGAGCAACTTAGAGAAGATATGCAGATGAATATTAACTCAAAAAGCGATTAGCAAGTGTAGAATTAATAACATAATTTGTTTTAGATTAAGAAACGGTATACGTTTCTTACTCACGTACCTGAATCCAATAATACTGGCCACAATCCGCCTCCATGACGATACTAATATGCGACATCAAATTTTGCTCATTGCTTTCAATTCTATTTCTTTCACAGCTCGTCATTAATTCCAGATTATACTTGTAACGAGTCCGCGACTGTGTGTTAGATTGATTACTAGTAAGAAATCGGGACAATCCTCCGTATTTACTGATTATAATAATCCATTTTATAATAGCAAATGGAAAAATGTATGATTCTACAAATGTGCATAATATTATTCCGAAGTTCATGAAAGAGTAAATGTTTTCACAAAATATTTTATAGGTACTTGAAATTGCAGTCGGAACAGCCATGATTGTTTTATTGAATTTAATTAGTTTATATGTAACAACACTTTTTATTTACATTTTTTAAAATTTATTTCTTAATTATTATTGAAGATTAAAAAGCAGTGTATTTTTAAGAATCAATGTGTTTAAGTCCCTCTAACTAAATTTCGATATTTTGCAATGGAGAACTAAGGGTGTTAATTTTTCATTTGACTTTACATCTTTTTGGTATAATATATATAAAAAGATACATTATTTGGTATTTTTCCTACACAAATATTTTATTTTTATTATTTGTCACATTTTTTCTATGAAAGCACAGTATCTGAGCTCTAGTTGTTACAGAACTAATAGCAGTGACGTGAGTACACTATATAACGTGGATAATTTAATAAACATTGTATGCCAGTGGAGCAAAAAGGATTTAGGTTGCCAATGTAAGACTTAAGTCATCGCAGCGACAGACTGTTCAGAGTCTTTAATTAATAAGTCAGGTTGAATTTTAATTGAATGTTCTATAGTATGAATGTTTTGTCATGTATAGGGTAACAAATTTTGATATGCAAACTTAGCCAGAATTTATGGTATGCCTCTGTAATCTAACTTCATGTATTTTATGCATCTTAGAAAACTACCAACATTTTATACTAATATAAGATTTTAAAAAATACACCAAAATAATTTATTATAGGGCTAAAATAATTATATATAGAATGAGCATCTCAGTCAGATTAAAACTGGAATGTAAGTGACATAACAGAACGATAGTATAATAAGAATTGAAAGTGGTCAGACTCTTATGTGGAAAGTAAGGACTTGATCTGCCCAGTTATGATTTACTCGAAAAGTTGGCTTCTTCAGAATATTGAGATATAAGATTGTAAGATTGAGAAATGGTAGGATAAAATCCATTGTAAGGCAATAGTACACCAAGCTTTGCACTTTTGTTCGAATATTGCCTCCAGTGCAGTGAAACAAGATCCATCAATATACAGCTTGATTTGCTGCTGTCTGTACATTAAGCATTCTAGCAGTTTGTAAGACCATGCAGAGCAATAGGCCTACAATTAGCTTAATCAACAGTAGACATTCTAGGCTTTCCAGGAAGACAAAGGGGGCTGTATCCTTTTCTTTGCCTGATTTGTGGAGTCTGCCTGGACTCCTAAAACTGTCTAGCTGTGTTGAAAGGTCACCTTAGAATTCACATTCCGAATAGGTCCAGTGAGCCAGCTGGCTCGTTTGGCCTTCTTCACTTCATAATGGCAACCCATTGCCTGGGATTGTAACCATAGTAAGATAGAGTCAAATCAGTAATTATTCCCTGGGGTTGCCGGGGAAAAATATAAATGGCTTGATTTTTATGATCCGATACTTTTGACTACTTTAATGCATATATTAGACAATTTTTTTTCCTTCAGTACAGCATTGTAATGCAGGTATGCAAAAGTACCATTCAAATAAAATCATAGCATATAAATTTTAAGAAATATAGGTAATAATTTGATAATTGTGGGTTGCTACTCGCCTCTACAATTAATTTTATTAAGCAATGCAGAAGAAGGAAATGTGGAAGATTTTAAAACATGAAGTGCACAATTCATACATCAATTAGATGATACATTATGTGATAGTTATGATATTATAATATATACTTATTTATGTAATTTATATTGTGACCTCATCAACAAAAAATATCTATATGAATGTATGGACATATAAGTATATTGCAGTTATTTATATGACCTACTTTAAAATTATCAGTGTATGCACCTATATAGGTTTTGTTGATGTACTTTTTACAATTAACTAGTTACTTGGTACCATATGCTTGGTACCGAATCAAAAGCAGTGAAGTGTAAATTACCTTTACTAGACAAATACGTCTATAAGTTCAAATATATTTATTTTACAAAGTGAAGAATGGCACTGAGTAATTATACATGTTAGTAATCTTTGTATCTATAGGTAAGTAGGTATATCTACGCATCTTTAACTGCCTACATTAAAGTTTCGGACTGTTGAATAGCTTAGAATAGTAAGTCTTTATGAGGAAGGATTAACTAGATACTCACTCGATTGTTTTCAAACGATAAGGCAAAGCTGTTAACGTGACTCTCTTCCATAGTTGTACTCGTAATTAAACAAACTTGTTATCTATAATTACACACGCAGTTACACAGCGTTATAATGTAACCTCAACTTCAATAAATTATTTTCATTCCAAACAATTAACTGCAGCTAAAGTTGCTGGAAAACTTTACATTACAATAGTATTTTACGTTCCTTTCTTTACTTTTTCTCATCAATAATCCTTATCGTGTTGACAACAGGATCGCGCTATATGTTTTTAATGTGAATGATAAAGACAGCATGCCGACTTTAATAAACTTTTTGATATTTCATGTCGTGTGCTTGCTTAAATCCGAACATGTTCCGTGTCTGTCTTCGTGCGCCTTGCTAAGTTTTTAGAGCAACAAGTATATCCTGCGGTTTTGCTTGAGTATTTTACACAAAATAAACGAGGTTAGATGTCAGCAATTTAATTATTAATTGGAAAATTTTTAAATTCAAAGATAACGGGGAAAAAACGGCGGCTTTTCGTAGTTACAAATGTGACACGAATTAATTTTATAGTTTTGAAGATCGAATAAATTTTTTTTAGGACCTTTGCACACGGCGTATTATAAACGCGCAAACGACGCGCAGATGACGCGCTGACGACGCGCTGATGACGCGTGTTTATGCGATTCAATCGAGATTTAGTCGTAGCCAGTAAACCTGGGCCATGGGCCTTATTTGTTATAATAATTACAACAAACTAGTGGAGTAATCACAAAAAATAATTTAATGTACCTACTATAACATCGGGCCATTCAATGAAATAAGTTAAAAAAAAATACAATTATTAAAGCGACATAGTCAGCGATGGTAGCTGTAAAGGTATCTCTCTGAGCAAAGAAATAAATTTCTCATAGATCGCGCTACGGTAAAAAGTCGTTAAAAAACAAAAACAAAGCTCTGCAACAAACACAGAGAAATTCGTAAGGTCTGCTGGTAAGTTCCGCGGCTTAATTGGTAGAGTATCTGGCACGGATTGCTTAAGGGTGCTGGTTCGAATGAATTTTTCTTAGTGTCTGGATCTTTATTATGTTATAATAATTATAACAAATTTACTAAGCCACGAACTTTCGTTCCGTGGCTTAGTTGGTATAGCGTCTGGCACGGTATGCAAGAAGACGTCGGTTCGAATCCGACCGGATCGAAGGAATTTTTTCTGAGTGTTTTTTCTGAGTGTTCGATCCTTGTATTAATAATTATAACAAACTAGTGGAGTAATTTCACAAAAAATAATTGAATATCAATTCAATAAAAATTTAATTAATACAGTGAATAGCGACATCTCTCGCCAGGACTGGTAACTGTAAAGGTACTAACTGGGTGATAAATCTGTCAAAGATTTCTCATAGATGGCGCTACGATTAAAAAGTCGTTGAAAAACCAAGTACAAAGACACGACGCAAGCACATAGAAAAATTCGTGAGGTCCGTTGGTTCGTTCCGTGGCTTAGTTGGTATAGCGTCTGGCACGGTATGCAAGAAGACGTCGGTTCGAATCCGACCGGATCGAAGGAATTTTTCTGAGTGTTTTTTCTGAGTGTTCGATCTTTGTATTAATAATTATAACAAACTTGTGAAGTAATTTCACAAACAATAATTGAATGTCATGGTAGTAAAACATCGCAACATTCAATAAAAAAACTTAAAAAATGTTATTAAGAAGGTAGTATACCTCTTCCGATAATTCGATAATAGTTTGTTACATGTAGTATCATAATACGGTATAATACAATTTAATATAATTTAATCGAATCTAATAATAGGTACACACGATATTGTACATATGATAATAATAATTGTGGTTACACTTTTGCACTTGGTTAGTCTTGTAATGATAGTTGCTAACTTGTGTATGTAAAGAAAGATTTTTTTTAATAACGCACACACTCGTTGCCCCGCACTGTATATCCATGAACACACGCATAAACCAGCACAAATTACACCCAAATTCACGAGAGAAATAAATGTAGGCCAATATTTCTCCCGACACAGGACCTCTGCGTGGCAGACTCAGCACGGTGCCGTTCGGCCACGGAGGAAGTTAAATAAAAAATGATACGTACCTATGATTTACGATTATTCTGATTATAATGTTGGAAGAAGGTTGGTTTGTTTGAAAAAACAAATATACGCGATTTAAATCTGGAAAAATACTTTCATTTCCTAAACCTAAGCAAGATTTTATTTTATATTAATTTACTACATATCTCATCTCAACTCAAAAAGTACTAAATTCCGATTCTGATCCGATTCGGAACTCGAACTAGAAATGTTTGCAATCTCTCCGTTCAAATAAAAAAAAAACTATTAGGGATGACAGTTTGTAAATAATTAATTACTGGTAATATTTATAATATTATTCGTTGATTTGTAACTTCTGTTGAATAAAATTAATTACAGACATGACTTTAAGATTAATATTACTAATAGCCCAATAGAATTTCGGGTGAAAACGTTGGAATTGTGGTAACTGTGTAACAGTCTGAGGCAAAAACCCTAAAAATCATACAGTTTTTATTTGTTGACATTTATTTTACGTTGAATTTGACTATAGTAACTACAGTTGTGTTACCTAAATTGTGTAAGGTTACGTGACAAACCAATGTTTGTCAGAACACATAAATATAAGAGACTGGAAGAACACAGTTCTATTGTTACTTTGGTAGCGTGACCTTCTACCGGTAACGTAAAGAAACTGCTATCCATTTACTGAACTGCTATAACATCTTATCTTCATCACTGCCCCATTTCTGTGGATTCCGTATTATGTGAAGCTCCGCCGTGAAACCAAGAAAACAAATACTGAACACATACCCGGCCTTGATTATACATGTGCCTATTATTTGCATTTAGCTTGAATAGGTACTGTAATATCTATCTACTTAAGTATTAATGTACTTTTCGTTTCTATTTTTATTTATAAAGTAGCTATTTAACCCGTTAATGGAGAGTAGCATTATAATGCGATTTCCAAATGCTTTCTGTGTAGTTACCGTCTAATGCTTCTCCATAGAGAAGTATCAACAACAATTTCATTTCCTGAAACTACACACATCAAAAGTGTCTAGGGATCAAGTGAATATTTTTGAAATAAAAATTATTTAAGCAATATTTACCAAATCCAGTCTCCCAGGACGACTTCTTACTTTAATGCTTATGTTTTATTTAACCGCTTACCCCTATATTTAATTAAAATAAACTAAAATTGATGTTTTTGCAAATTGTGGGAAAAAACTTAAATTAACGGCGTCAATTAAATGACAAAAAAATGGCGAAAATGATGATTTTGCTCATTTTTATTGTAAAGATAAGAAAATTAATAATCTGTATTTCCAGCATTAACACGAATCACACAATTACAGCGATTTGGCATGCTTGAGTTCATCAAAATCACTTTGAGGAATGGCCGCCCATGTGTTTTGTAACAAGTCAAAATATTGTTGTAGAGTATGTACGGTATGCATACTCGGCACAGCTCTTCTTTGAAGCATATCCCATGCGTGCTCAATTGGATTGAGGTCTGGCGATTAAGCAGGCCACGGCAGAACGTTGATACGAGCTTCGGCAAGAATGCGTGTTACGACTCTAGCCGTGTGTGGACGTGCGTTGTCATGCATTAGTTGAAATGAATCACCCAACTGGCCTCGCAAAGGGATGATAACATCTGAAACAATCCTCTCTGCGTAAACTTGAGCATTGAGGTTACCCCTGATCCAAATGAGATCGGTTCTTCCGGCGATCCAAATACCGGCCCATATCATTATTGTTCCCCCACCATATGGATGAACTTCCTGACAATATCTCAAACGTTCATGACGTCCAGATGTTCTCCAAACTCGAGTACGTCTTGTATTCGGTCTCATACCGAAGCGGGATTCATCCGAAAAGCACACATAGCGCCAGTCTTCTTCCTCCCAGTTTCTGTGTTCGCGAGCCCATCGTAAACGGGTCCTGCGATTGCAGGGTGCAATAGGTGGAACTCTGAGCGGCCTTCGGGATCGCAGACCCACTTCACGTAAACGATTTCAGATTGTTTGATCGCTTATTAGCAAGCCTGAGGAGCTGTGGAGCCTCGTAACCAACATCATGGCGGTCATGGTACGATTCCGTCGAGCAGTATTTTGGATATACCGGTCCTGTCTGCGAGTCGTGATGCGAGATCGTCCTCCATGTCGCTCGGCCACGCTGCCCGTCATGCGATAGCGCGTCCAGAGGCGACTTATGACGCTCTGTGTAGTGTTAAGAGTGAAAGCAACAGCACGTTGCCTGGAACCAGCTTCCAACATTCCGACGGCTCGCATCATCACTTCTCGGGTTAAATGATGTCGTCTCTCCATAATAATGTAAATTGTTTCGGTTCCGATGCAGATATTGTAATGATTTTGTCAAAACGCTATAACTCATTTTTATACAAAACCACATTGACAATCGATTTTCTTATTATTATCGAATTTTAAACAATATTCCTTATTTAAATGTTAAAACTCACTAAAAAGTATCAATAGCGATACAAAAAAGTTAATGTAATTAACCCTAATTGCAGCAATACTCTTAAACGTACTTGATCCCTGGACACTTTTGATGCCTGTATTTCGGATCTAAATCACGTCTATTTATTTTTCAAACAAATCAACATTTCGAGCGTTTTACAGGTCCAATGGTCACGACATGGTTGCGACATAACACGAAACGTTGGTTTGTTTGATTAAAACAAATATACGATATTTGGAATCAGAAAATATAGTTTCATTTCATATGTGTAACAAATTGCGAAAACCTAAGAATTCGATATCAATAACGTACCTACTGGAAAATTTCAATGACTTATTTTTATTTCACCACCTCAGTGGCCTAATAATTTACACCGTGGGCGTCGGACTCCGAGGGTTCGATACCCGGTAGAACCAATTTGGGAAACGAACTTTTCTCCGGTCTGTGTGTTTTGGGAAGTGCCCCAGAATTCGGTTGTTCTGGTACTCATAGTACGGTTAGGCTAGGTACGATTTCCGGCTCCCTCGGACGGCCACCATCGCATACGCGGACGATACGATGGTGGCTGCCCGGGGGCCCACCTTCCGGGAGGCGGCCCGAAGAGCCTCAACGGCGGCGGATCTCATGATCCGCCGCATAGAATCGTTGGGGCTAAGGGTCGCCGTGCCGAAGACGGAAGTGGCCGTCTTCGGCGGGAGGGGAAGAGGTTGGGTAGTGTCGGCGGGCGCCCACATGTCCATCACCAGGGAGATGGTCCCGGTCAAGGCTCAGATCAAGTGTCTGGGTCTTGTCCTGGACCGGCGGTGGAAATTCGGGGAGCACTTTCAACAGCTCGCTCCCCGAATAGTGGGCGCCGCCTCTGCGTTGGGCCGGCTACTGCCCAACCTCGGACGGCCGGGAGTCCCGTGCAGGAAGTTGTACTCCGGAGTAACCCGGAGTATGGCATTGTACGGGGCTCCCGTGTGGTGTGGGGCCTTATCAGCGGCAACGAGGGCGCTGCTGAGAAGGCCCCAGAGGGTGGTCGCCCTGCGGATGTGCAGGGCGTACCAGACAGTGGCCGCGGCCGCGGCATGCGTGCTCGCCGGAACTCCGCCGTGGGACCTCGAAGCGGAGGTCCTGGCGGAGGTTCACAACTTCCGGCGAGAGAGGAAGGTGCGAGGCGAGAACCCTGCTCCACAAGAGGTGGAGCGGGAGCGCCGCCTCGCGGTCCAGCGCATGCGGGACCGGTGGAAAGAGGGCTTGGCGGATCCCCCCTATGGAGCTAGAACCATAGGGGCGATCCGCCCTGTCCTCACTGAGTGGGTACACCGGTCCCACGGGCCACTGTCGTACCACCTTGTGCAGATCCTGACCGGACACGGCTGCTTCGGTCACTACCTGCACAAGGTGGCGAGGAGGGAGGCGTCCCCGTCGTGCCACGAGTGCGGCGCCGTGGATGACACCGCGCAGCACACCCTCGAGGTGTGTTGCCGGTGGATCGAGCGGCGCCGCACTCTGGTGGCGACAATAGGGAGGGACCTCTCGCTGCCCAGCGTGGTCGCGGCCATGCTGCGGGACGAGAGGTCCTGGGACGCGGTGGCCTCCTTTTGCGTGGAAGTGATGACGCAAAAGGAGGCGGCGGAGCGGGAGCGCGAGGACGCGCCTGACGCACCCCCACTCCGGCGCAGACGGCTGGGAAGGAGGCGGTGGCAATTTGCCGCTCAACTCCTTCCCCACTGAGGCCAGCGGACAGGGACTAGGGCCTCCTGTTCGCATTGCACGGCCTCAATCGTCTGGGGAGAGGGGCGGAGAAAACCGATCCTGAAATAGAGATGATCCCACGGCGCCGTCACAAACCCGGCGAGAGGCAAACCGATGGGGTTTAGTGGGTACACCCCTGGGTCCATGCTAGACCCAGGAGCAGCGCCCTTTTTTTTTTACAGGGTTTCCCTAGTACGGGGCTTTGAGTATGTGCGTTATTATTATTATTAATGTCTGGTTTTGTTTTCATTTTCTAAGCCTAATTTATTTTTATTATAATAAGAAGAAGATAACAGATATGACGTAATAAGTTATACCCAGTATTTTAGAGATATTTATTATTATTATTTACTTTATTCTTCTCAGCTTGTTATTATTATTATTATTATTTACTTTGTTCTTCTCAATCACACTTACGAGCCGAAGTCAAGTAAGTGCAGTATGGCGTGTATCTACGAATATGTGGTGGGTGTGTAATAGGACTTACCTACTTCGTCCTTTTCCATCTGCATTAACTTTCTGACAATGCGTCTAGTATTTACAGCTTTTTGCAAGGTTATGCAGAGGTATTCTTTACACCCTAATAGCAGTACAGCTCCTTGTGAAAGAGTTCGTCCAGGGAGGGCCACCTTACCTATTTCTGTCGCTAAGCAGTAATGTCAGCATTACTGTATTACGGTTTTGAAGGGTAAGGGTGTTGGTGAAATTACAGGCACATGAGATTTGTCAACTTATGTCTTAGGGTGATGGGCGCAGTGGCAGTGCCCCTCAGGTCTTTGCGATTTTAAGCTCTGAGTGGCACTGCAACTGTTATGAACAGGCGTGTAGCTAACCATTAGGCGGACGACTTGTTCGTCCCGTCACGTGATATTATAAAATAATAATAATAATAATAATTTACGACTATGGAGAAGAATATTAGGAATAATACCTGTTATGGAAAGAATAATTGGGATAACGTATATATTTTCTTGTCGCAAAATTTTTGACACTTCTTCCTTTAGATCTGCATATTTACTTATTTTTTCATTTATACTCTTTTGAACGTTACGTGTGTTTTATTATTATTTGCTTTATTCTTCTCGGCTTGTTAGCTGGTTTGAAACGCATTTACGGACCGAAGTCAAGTTATTATTATTATTTGAGTTCTGAATGTACTAAGTTTTCACATATTTCTACAAATTTTTCGATATTCTACGAATTTCTAAAAATAAGCCAAGATTTAATAATTTTGATTTTTGCTGTTCCCTTGCTCTGGCTAACTTCGTTGGTATGATAAGTAAGTACTGGCACTTTGTTAAATTATGCTTGAACTGAAACTTAATGAGCCTTGTGATGACGTCACTCTTTTTGCATAGCATTATTATTATCTTATAATTAATAACATCAAAATTGTTATACAATTACTTTACTGCCTTGGAAATCTATTTATGGGTTCTCGTACAATCTTTGTAGACTTCTAATTAAGTAGTGCAAAGCTGAGGTCTGCTTCACTCATAGATTTAGTTTATACTAAATCTATGGCTTCACTCACTTACTCTACTTGGCAATTCATTATTTTTGACAGCTTTTTGTTTGACATTTTAACCTTAGAAAGCTAAGCCCAGATAGAACATTGATCTGTGCATGTTTCACTTTATTTTCGCGGTAAGGCTAAACATATTGATAGTTATATATATTTTGATAGTTACCGCAATTATGAAGGTAGGTACCCATCTTGCAAACACGTCTTGAACTGTTTGATATAGACTATGGTATATTCTGTAATCTGTGACTATGGTTATAAATGATGACGATGATTTTTAAGTCACGTAACTAAAATGAGGATATAGATTAATGATGCAATAGAAGTGTTATAACCGAAACAGAAACGGAAACAGATATTAAATGTAAATCTTAACGGAAACGGAAGCGGAAGTGTAAATATTACAGAGATCTGAACGAATTAGTTCCAATAAACGCGCGTCCCAGTGACTATCACTTCGCTCGCGTGCCTGACCCTCAGATATGATATGATTAAAGTCGAAGAAGCAGAAATGAAAACTGCGGAACTTTCGCAGTTGTGGAAGCAGAAGCAGCAGAAGTTACATCACTAATATAGATTGTCACAATTATAATTATGTCGTATTAGATTAACATCATAGTCGTCTTTTCGTGTTTTACGACTTTACCTTCAGAATATGAGTTGATTGCTAGTGACTCTGTTTCGGTAATGGTGTAAAAAGGTCTTTCAAGCTTTTGCACTCTCACTCGGTATAAAAATAGCAGTAAATTACTCGGCTACTCCGCGAGCACAATGAAGGTTAAATCGTGCTAAATAGATGCGCTTGTGTTGAATATGTTTTCTTGAAGTTAATAATTTCTCCACCTACGCCTCCGCATAAAATTTGTAAATAAATAACATGAGCGGAACTACAATCACAAATGCCATCACAAAAAAAATGCCCGACACGTGTTTCGCCTGTTAATTACTCCTCAGGAGTTGTTGAAAGTACTTCCATTTTTTAACGTGCATTTCCATATAATAACGCCTGAATATAGCCTGAATATATAATTTGTCTCACGCGGTATGTTTTTGCTAAGAATAACAAAAACTAAATAGGTGTTTACTAATGAATATAGTAATGGGTATGAGTTAACTATCATTTTTTGGTTTTTATTTTCGATTTAAAAATATAAGGACGATTAAAAGATATAGATTTCTCACAGATGGCGCTATGGCAGAAAAGTCGTTAAAAAACCAAAAATGGACCTCTGCAATAAGCACAGAAATGAAAGAAAGGTCAGTTAGTTGGCATAGCGTCTGGCGCGGTTGCGAAGACCTTGTTGGTTCGAAACCAGCCGGATCGAAGGAATGTTTTCTAAGTGTTCGTCTTTGTATTCATAATTATAACATACTAGTGGACTAATTTCACAAAAAAGAATTGAATATCATGGTACTAAAACATCGTAACATTCAATACACTTAATTACAATAAAAGGACGAGTTATGAGGTAGTACTTTTTTAATCGAAAAATCAGCACGAGCACAGTTAATGTTTTCGGCTTTTAATTGAAATTGTCACTACAACACGACTAGGTATATGGGAAGACGATTATTTTTAAATCAATTAAAAATGAAACAAATTTTGTAGCTGAAATTATTTAGATCTAGACATTTCCCTTTAATACCCTGTGTGTTTGTGTGCCCTGTCAGGCACAATTTTTTGTTCCTGGTGACATTAGGAGTTTCGTGAAGGAATACAAAACGAGTGAAGTCGCCGAACTGAAAAAGTAGATAAACAAAAAATACCAGACTTAATTCTAATGTATCCAAGGGCAGACAATGTAAATGGACAGTTCACGATAGTACCTAGATAGATTCGATTGCGTGTGGAAAGGAATCACAATTTCGACTTGCCGTGAGAAACTTCCATTGAGTGTATATATATAATGAAATGAGAGAGTAAAAAGTTTTTGCTTTCCGTTGGGAAATTATAGAGTACAGAGTTAACTGCACGTCGAGTTTAAATTTATTTTCTTCACTCTTGCCCGTAAATTGTAATACGATTGCATGTAGGCTAACTTGACTTGAAATAAAACCCTTGGGCCTGTTTTCTTCTCAATACCGATCATGGCTGTAATGAGAAGAAAAAAGGCCGTCGTGTTACGTTTAAAAAAGTTACGTGCATGTGTGATGAAAAATATCGCTTCACGGGCGGTACGGAAATTACGAACCTCGGCTCTGAAAGCCATCAGTCTTCGACTTCTGGCTTCTAATAGAGACTCGATCGTTATTCCTTACTTACCGCCCTTACTACGCATTGTACTATTATTAAGGGTGACGGTGAAATCACAGACACGTGGGACTTGTCAACTTATGTCTGAGGGTGATGAGGGCAGCGGCACTTAAGTTGCTATGGCCAGGCGTGTCGCTTACCATCAGCTGCACGACTTGCCTGTGCCTTCACTAGATATCAGAAAAATCAACCTTATGCCGCCTTAACATTGACTTACAATTATATGGACGTCGGGTCCGCGCTAAAAAGTGTCCGCACTTGTAAGGCGCTAAATCCTATACAGAGCGAAACTCCGCTTTAGTCTTCATTTGTTCGACTGACAGCGCGATACTGCGATGATATTACAATTTAAATTTCGAATAGGTTGACTTGGGACATTTTTTTCGTGGTTTTTGTGTTAGACCCGTCGTCCATTTATTTGTAAGTCAATGCGCCTTAAGATTCGATACTACCTCAGCTCGAATTCAATTTTTTCCGCACAAATACGGTTTCGTTTGCTTGAATGGAGCTGCAAGAATAACTGATTTTATTTCAGAATTTATTTTTTTACAAACAAAAAATGTATATCGTATTACGCGTTCTATTTAGTTGAGTTGATATAAATAAAATCATTGGTATAATGTAAAATACCTTACCTATTGAATACAGCGTTTTTCTTGTAAAATTTCGAGGTAAGTTAAAGAAAGAAACGAAAATTTTATAGAAATCGTGTTTACAGTGTCTCAATTTGACTGTATATTTTTTCCAAAGTGATTGATTCAACACTTTCATTGTTGTGCGGAATCAAATGGCTTTCCATTTGAGGTAGTACCGACTTTTAACCTTATAGCGACAAGAACGATCTAAAACGTGAAACGGTCAACGCTTCCTTTGTTCGACTGTACTAGCTTAAAACATTTTGAATTGCTGTTGATTTATAGCTTAATTTAATTTTCATGTAAAAAGAAAAATATGTATTAAGGTTTTCATTTTGTTATTTCTTTATTGAACGATTAATTAAAGAATATGACGTTTATGTTATTTCTATAGACATCTGTATCAAACTACGTTCCACTGTTTAGCTTGAGTTTCTCCGACAATGTGGGCTTATTGACAGGTACAGAGTCCGTGAATTTGTTACGCAGAAACCCGTTATTTCTAGGATACCTGACGGCAATAATTTTAAAATATGACATTACCGACTCTAACTTTGTCTCTGAC